CCCCAAAACCCCAAAACCCCAAAACCCCAAGAGAAAAAATTATCAGTTTTATTGCTAATTGAAATGTATATTGGAATGAAAATGCAGAGACATACTACTTAAAAGTTGCAGAAATTTATATCTATGACTTCTTCTTGATCTTTCGCAGATTTTAATACATTTAAGGTAGAGTATATTGAAATTAATTGTATATAGGCCAAAGATTTAGTCTTTTAGAATCCAGTTAGGCAGTAAAATGCTGTATTATAAAGTAAAGACTTAAGAGATTTTGAATTTGGGAAAAAATTCACACCAAACATGTTTTAAGTGGACTATTAATATGACAAAGGTGGCTGGCAATAACCACTGATAACTCCTTATGGACCTCTTAAAATAGAAACATCAGCTTCTTGTTTGCATTATGGAATATCTCACTTTGAGGGGGTCTCAATTTACAAAAACTAAGTCAATTAGATTCCTTAAGCAATCAGAGTTCAGGATACCTTGGATAGCTTCAAGAACTCAGCTGATAGAATAGACATGCCACTATTTGATACTGAAGAACTCCTGAAGTGCCTCAAGATGTATGTAAATCATGAGAGACATAACTTTCCACAAATTGAGGATCCCAAATTAGTATCATAGCTTTACTTAAGATTAGTTCATATTAGCACTTATGGCATTCTCGGAATTAAGTAGAGCAAGCAAACTAAACTCTACGGAATTATAAACCCTAACGTAGTTGAGAATAAGAGTTTGAAGGTCATAACTTCAAGTGGCGTTTCTAAGAGCTGGCCACTTGGTCACGGATCCTTCAGATTGAGTGGGAACATTGGTTGTTTGTCGCCAGCAGTTCAAGAGGCTAAAAGTCTAGGCTATGATGACGTATTATGGATGATGGATGACTATATTCAAGAATTGACTGACAAAAATGTTTACATTTATTGGTAAAGTAGATTTGGAAAGAAGGAGCTAGTTGTTCCTTTAGATAATGGATGCATATTCAATGGACTTATAAGGAGAAGTATTCTTGATATCAAAGATGAAATCAAGTAGTCCTTAGACATTGATCTTGTCGTCAGAAATATTTCAATTCATGAAATAATAAATGCTTCAAAGGAAAGAAGACTTTATGAGCTTTTCGCTTCATCCTAAGCAACTTAAATCTAGTCTATAGAGAAACTCAGATTTGCAGAAAGAGTGGTTGATTTAGATTAGAATTTCGCTGTTGCTAATTTTGTGAGACAGAAATTTATCGATATCGCTACCTCTGATATTAAACCAGATTGGATTACTAAATTTGAACCTTGATTTTAACCAAGAATTCTGATTAAGGGGTTTTGGGGTTTTGGGG